AGTGTGTGGAGCCGAAGGTTCTGGGGGTTCCCCAGCTCTGCCCGGCCTGCGCCGGGTTAACGCTGCAGTGCAGGAGAGGGGCCGTTGCCTTGGCTCACCTCCCGTGGGGGCACCAGTAGGAATTGGAAGTTTTCTCTGCCCGCTGAGTTCAAGGAGCTGAGCTGTCGGCCCATGTTTGGATGTTCTTGCATTAACACTCTGGATGAGATCAGTTCCTGGTTTTCTCACCTGAGTGCTCAGTGGGAGTGTGCCAGCTTGCCACAGCACTGGTGCAGCTTGTTCATCCAAACTGCCCACTTTCTAGTCCTTTTCCCTCCCAGTTTTCCAGGTCTGTTTCCCAGTTTACCTCTTTCTTCTTCCTGGTCCTGCGTGCTCTTCCCAGGCCTTTTTCAGAGTGGGGCAGGGAGAGGGAGCCTGCTGTTGAGCCAGAGGAAGAGAAGGAAATGCTGCAGCAGCTGCTCTGCTTCCTCTGCCCTTGGCAGGCTTCAGCCACACTGCCAGCCCAGCGCCAGGAGCTGGGCAGGGAGGCAGAAAGGAAGGGCTGCAGCAGGAGGACCCTGGCAGCCTGGGGCCCCCCATTCCTGACCCTCCCCACGTGGAAGGACGTCTCCAGCCTGTCCCCCACCATTGCGCTCGGTGGGTGTGACCCCACTGCATAAAAATGTGTTCAGAATGGAGCAGGCTAACAGTGTCTGTCCCTTGTCTGATACCACAGGAGGGATTTTGGTAGACAAACGTGACTCCTTGGCTTAAAACTGAGCCCAAGTACGTTGCTCATCGTGGCAGGCTTGTATTTTTCCTTTCCCAAAAGACAGTGTTGGTGCATGCAGGGCACGTGCTGCTGGGTCGGCTGTGCCAGGGATTGACTGCCCTCTGATGTTGTGTGTTGCAGCTGGCGTGAAGTGGATATCACCGCTCTGAAAGCCAACCCTGATGAAGACAGTGAGGAGGTAAGAAGGATTTTATTTCTGAATTAATGTGGGATGGGGTTGGTGGAGGCAGAACAGCATCTACAGAGGATGCTGGAAGGGAGTGGACGCAGGGACCTCAGCAGGGAGGTGCGGAGTCTCTTCCTTTTTTGCAACGAAATGGCACAATTGGCCCTGCAGAAACCAGCCTGGGGTTGGTTCCTTCTCAGGAAAGGTGTGATAAGGCAGAAGCTGGATTAATTAGATTGGGTACAGTTGAATTTGAGGTTTGATTGCTGTCAGGAGACTTCTCTGGGCAGCAATCTTATGGAATAGTCAACTCAAAAAATCATGACCAGTCACACCGCTATAGTTGTTATTTTAGCTAAACTGATGATGGTGGTATTTCCTTAAACCTCTGTGTGAGTGCTTTCATTTTGGGCTAAATGGTTGGCTTTTGGTTTTTGGTTCTTAATCTGTGTGTAAGAAATGCAGACTCAGTTTAACAAGGTGCTCTCACACTCACTGATAGCATCTACCTCCCTCCAGATATAAACATTTAAATTCACTCCATAGCTAGCACTGGAAAAAACTGCAGGTGTTTAATATAAGAAAGCTCTGACCAAGCCCTGTCCTCTTCCCTTTCCAGATCGAGGACTTGTCTGATTCGGCCTTCACTGCTCGGCACGGCAAGTGTGAGGAGATGGAGCGGGCCCGCTGGCTTTGGAGCACGAGCGTGCCCCCGCAGCGGCGGGGCAGCAGGTACGGCCCTGGGCACGGCTGGGGGGCAGCAGAGAGGATGCTGGGGGCTTCTCTTGGCCAACGTGTCATTCCCAACAGCGTGGGATGCTCCTGGGAGCAGGCTGTGGCGGCTTTATTAGATCAGCTGATCCATAAAAAGGGTTAGAAGCTTGTGCTGGTGTTGGAAGGTTTGATCACCATCCACAAGAGCAGCTTGAGGAGCCCTCGTAGGAGGGGGCACAGTCTGGCTTAGGTAGGGGTGAAGTTACACTCCAGTGGAGTTGCAGACAACCAACTCTTGCTCCATCTGTTTGGATTCCGCTTTCTCAAGCGCTTTCACCTCTCTAGAAGTGTGGAGGGTGCTGCGCCAGCGCGGGGGGCTGAGATGGGTGTCCCTCGTGCAGGGACAAGGAACGGCTGGCTGCTGCCTCTCCGCTCGACTGCCTCAGCACTGCTGTTCCTCTGCCTCGTTTATACACGTGTCCTTACGTTCCTCTGATCACTTGACACTTGATTGCCTTTCTGCAGTGTCTTTTTGCGAGTGGGTTTCTAAAACCACATCGTTTCCAGCTGTTGATCTCATCATAAACCCTGTGTAAGAAGAGATTTGCTCTTCTCCGTTTGGCTTCCGATGCTTTCTTTGGTTTTGAACGAGTGTGCTTGGGCAGAGATGCTGCTGAGCTACAGCTGCATGCAAACGTGGACCCAGTCGCCTTGGTCTGGTTGTGGTTTCAGTTTAGCCCTGTTGAGCTCGTGCGATCGTGCACGATTTCTGCAAGAACTTCTGCAAATAAGTGGCATCTGTCAAGCTCCATTTGTGCTGCTGCTGCCTCGTTTTATCTGCAGCTGCATTTCCCAGTGGTGGTGGAGCGTGGGACCTTTTGGCGTTTCTTTGCAAACTTCTTCGGCCACTTTCTCACATCTGATAGCAGCTCACCATAAATTTCTTCCTCTAGAGATCCTCTTGGAAGGATGTTGGTGAAAGATGCTGTGTTGAGGTCCTGGCTTGGTCACTGAGGTCAATTCAAGCTTCATCTCTTAAGTTTAGAAATGGAAGTGGGAAAGGACTTCCTGAGGTCTCAAGTCTCCAGGCTCCTGCAGGGCTGCTGCCAGCAGGAGACCAGGTTGGCTGTGGCTTTGCCTGGCCCTGGCGTGAGCCTGTCCAAGGATGGGGATTCCCCCAGGCCTGGGCCAGTATTCCCAGTGCAGCTCCCCAGCAGGGAGCGATGGGGAACAAAGTGTCCCTGCTCCGCTGGCCGCGTTCCCCAGCACAGCCTGGGACGTGGTTTGCTGTATTTGTGCTGAGAGTGACTTGGCCGAGTTCAGCTCAGTGTTTGCCACGTCCCGAGCTGCTCCTCAGCAGGATCTTCACTCAGTCCCTCCGTTCCCATCCTGGGCTTGTTCTCTGCGGCTACTTTAGTCTGTCTTTAGAAATTGTTGGAGTCCCTCATGTCCTGCTAACTTTTGTTGCTGTGATTCAGCCAGTACCTTGCTGCTTTCCTGTGGAGTTCCTGGGCCAGGTAATACCAGTAAACACTGGGGTAAACTCAGTTTCCCTTAAATGCCCTTCTCTTTGTGACCTGCTCCGGCAGATCTGCTGAGCCTCTGGTGGTCTCCCTGCCTCGTGTACGTAACAGATTGGTTTTTTTTTTCCTGTAGCAGCTTTTAAATTAAATCTTGATTCAGCACACTGACTTCATCTAGCTTGCTGCCTGTTGTAGGTGTTTTATTAGTCTAATTGGGCCTGCGTTTGTATGTTCTAAAGAACATTTTGCCCAAGGTAAATTTTGGAATCTGATCCTTGCCAGTCCTTGATGGCCACTTGCTGTTGCAGTTCATCTTGAAGAGTTGCACATGGGTGTGGGAGCTCCAATTAGGTTTCTCTGTTTGCAGCCTGTGGGTCTTTTATCTGGGAATCTGTGTAGGTGCTGAAACTTTCTTAATTCTTGGTTTAAATCTTCTGAAGTCTAGGGGTTTTACAGTGCTCCTCCTACACCCCAACCTTTGAACTTGCTGCGTTTTCAGTGTTACTGATTCACAACACCTGGTTCTTGAGCTGCCTGGTGTCACATGGCGTGTAGATGGTGGAAACACTTGGAAAAACCCATTTTGAAGTGTCAGATGTCATGGGGTGGCTTCTCCTCGTGGTTTTGATGCAGCACTCGCAGCGTAGGAGATGTGTGGGACACGTAACCTTAGGAGAACAGCGTCAGTGTTGCGAAACTGCACCGAGAGAGCAGAGTTGGGACAAAGAGGAGCCTGGATTTGCTCTGGGTCTCGACATTCCCTGCTGACGTGTGCCAGAGCCCTGCGGCGCTCCCCGACGTGTGGCTGCTCTGAGGTGGAGGCGGTGGGGGGGACCGTAGGGCAACAGCGAGCAGCCTTGGCCCCCTCCCCTGTATCACTGGGAGCAGAGCTGGGACTGAAACCAGGCTCTCCCGTGTGTTCCTATCGCAGGTCCTACAGGTCGACAGACGGACGGACGACCCCCCAGCTGGGGAACCCCTCGACTCCCCAGCCGGCATCCCCTGACGTGGGCAGCTGCCACTCCCACTCGGAGCTGTCCCACACCCACTCACCGCGCAGCCCCATCAGCCCCGAACTGCTCTCTGCCCCCCTCACCCCCCTCTCCCGTGACTCCATGCGGCTCCTCTCCAGCGAGGACACCCGCTGCTCCACGCCCGAGGCCGGCCTGGACGAGCAGGTGGGTGCTGCCTCCGCTTGCGACCCTTTGCTCTAGTTTTGCTCCTGGAGGGAAGCTCCACACGCTGCCTGTGGCTGGCAGGAGTAAATCTGACACTCAGACCTGGCTGGTTTATCCCCCTTGTCGTGGGGAGGCAGCTCAGAAACCTGCCCCTGGGAAACGCTGGGCCAGACGGGCCGTGGGTGGGGCAGCAGGATGTGGCCCCAACACTTGGTTCAGTTCAGAGGCTGCTGCCTCCTCACCCCCCCCCACCCGCTGAAGCTTCCCACACCCTGGCCTCAGCGTGGAGGGGGAGCAGAAGAGCTTTCCCAGAGGGTTTTCCATAGCCTGGTGTCTCTTCCCTTTAGGCTGTGCAGCCCTGGGAGCGACGCACCTTCCCGCTCTCGTACGATCCCAGGACAGAGTGCGAGGACCAATCTGACCCCCAAGACCGGTTGTCGCGCTGCACCCGGCGCACGTCGGGCAGTAAATCCTCCCGGGAGACCGATGGCACTTCTGCTTTGCCCAACCTGGCCAGCCTCAAGAGCCGAACCCCCCTGGCGACACCCTCCTCCTCCTCTTCCTCCTCCTC